ATATATATATATATATGGTATATATACACAGTATAGACCGTGCACACATACACAAATATAGAGAGGGAGAGGGAGAGAAAGAGATAGCCTTACTTACGTAAACCGCTTTATATCTTGCATCTTATGCACTGCATATTGTATATTGCATGTGTCGACTCACAAACAAATGCTTGTGCATTACATATTACATTTTTGTACATCATATGTTGTAACATGTGTATCTACATACAGTCATATATCATCATACATCACATATTCTATGACTGCGTGTGTATATGTTCTCACACATCATGTGTCTTACAATGACATGTCATGTTCCTATAGGTTGCCGGGTATGTACTGTATGCTGTCTTGTGTAAGATAAATATGATATTACGCACACATATATATATATATATNNTATATGCATATGTATATGTATACGTAGATAATGAAACATGCATAATGAAACATGCACAGTCACTGTAAGTTAAACTATAACTATAACTAATTACAAAAGCAGTGTTTCGTTTTTTCAAGTTCAAGCATTGCGGCCTTACGGATGCAGGGTGTTTAGGGGTTCAGTACTTTTAGGGTTTCAGGGTAAACGGGCTCAGGGTCTGGCGGCTAGAGGGTCTCTTTTTTTGATTCAGGGTTCCTTGCGTCCGTGGGCCTGAGGGTCCCACGTCGGTCTTCACGTGTGGGCCGGGGCCGTTTCTCTATACATCATCGTCGATGAAGACAGCCCCGGGGACACGAGACTGACCTGTACATATGTGAGCCTCCACGAGAACGGTAACACGACAAAGCGTTCGGATCCGGTCGGCCTCGACTTCTCTCGCCACTTTGACCTCCGTCTCCCATTGAGCACGTTGTGAGCCACGGTGCCTACGTTTGCAGAGCCCGTGAGCCTCATCGTCTGCCGCCCGATTCAATCGACGGCATTCGCCTGCAGATGCCGGCATCCACGTCGGCGGTCGCCATGAGGGCAGTTTCTCATGACTGGGGACCCAAACCAGAGACCAGCGTAAGCCACGGTCACGCAGAAGGCGGCCATTGGCGTGAACGCGGCCTGCCAGGTTGCTCAGGGAGCTCTTTGCAGGACAGCTCACAGCTTTGATCGCCGCCTCACAGTCCACGAGAATCGCCACGCTTTGCGGCAGCCGAGGGGCCGCGGCCAGTGCACCAAGCAACTCGTCCAAGGCCTTGAGCTCCATCCGGAACGGAGACTGATCTTCGCCTTCGTCAGCTCCCGCCACCCGAGACATCGGGTTGTCACAGACGACAGCGTAGCTGCCAACGCCTTCCAGGCTCGAGCCGTCCGTTGCCAAAGTCAGCGCCTGGACCCCGGCCGTGGCGGCTTCCTCGAAAAGACAGAGAAGGTCCTCACGGCAGGGAACGGTCCCCAAAGGCGGTCCCGGGTGTTCCTTCACCGGGTGGCCCAGGAGACGCTCCTCCACTCTGTCACTCGGTGGGGCCAGCTGAGCCCTGGCCTCGCCTAACTCCTCACAAGCCCACAGAAGATGAGCTCGCGACGGCCATGGTCGCCCACAGAGGCAGGTCGGGTCGGAAGTCCTGCATTTCAGTGACCAAGCAAGCACGCTTGGCCGCAGCAGTGCGCGCGGTTTTGAAGACCTGGCCATGGCCCAGAAAGGCAAACCTGAGATGGGCCGCGGCGGGAGGGAGGTCTAAACCCGACGCTACGTTAGGGTCGTCCCGGTGCCGTCGCCTGGCAACGCGCCCACTGGCTCTGGCAGTTTGCAGCACGTAGGCCTCCGTGAGCCAGCGCTTGAGGACCTGACAGGAATCCTCTCGAAACCGAAAAACGCGGGTCGCGCCCGTGTCGTCGATGCGCTGCAGCTGCTTGCGCGCTGTATTGAAGTCCCAGCCCAAGCGCTGGACAGTCTGCAGTGCAGCCGGGCACCCAGCAACACGTGACACCCGCAAGCCCGCAAGCTGCTCAGGCTGTCCTCTTCCGGCTCTTCGAAAGCACGAGTCATCGAGCGGGTTAGGGCAGCCAGGGAGCCCCAGTCCGCCATCCAGAACGGGTCAAGACACCAGACGTCAGCACGGCTTGCAGGGCATGGCTCACGCCTAGCCTGATGGCACTAAGCACCTCCGGATCGGGCAAGGCCACCCCAGCCGCCCAAAACAGGGCCGGGAAGACCAAGGCACGTATGACCTGAAACTTCACCCCCAAGCTGAAGGCAGGGCTTGTGGCATGCCTGAGGCGGGCTTGCAGTTTGTGCAGGCAAAGAAAGCCAGCTCGATGCCGAGGAACTGGAGCGTCGGCACCACCGTGTAGCCTCGTGCTCTCGCCACCGCAGCCCAAGGGCAGGCCGGGTCCACCGTCACAAGGTGACACTTGCTACGGGAGCAGGTCAAGCCCCGCGGCGTCGAAGTCGTCGCTCCTTTGCAGAGCTTGCTGAGCAGCCTCGTTTGTGGCAGAAGAGCCCTCGGGGAACCACAACACACGGTCATCGATGAAGATGCCGGACTCGACCGTGTGGGACACATGCTGTGTCCAGAGATGCCCCACGCAAAGACTAAGCAGCGGGCTCAAAGGGCACCCCTGAAGCAACCCAACATTAGCCGCCCGCCAGCACGGCGAGGTATGCCCATCGATGGTAAACAGGCGGAACTGCTGAGCGTAGAAGTTCGCAATCAGCCGGGCCAAGGCGGCAGGAGCGCCGAGGTGGCTCAGCGTTTCGGTGATCGCAGGCATGCTGAGGCTATCGAAAAAGGAGCTGAGATCCTGTTGTATGAACGAATGTGTTCCCAGGTGCCACGCTTGGAGGATCCTGGCATGAACGTTTGCCACGCTCCGCCCTGGAGCCGCACCACAAGCTCTAGCGCCGTTCCAGGAAACAACCCACCCCTTTAGCCGCCTGGCCACGGCTCGGGCTCCTGCTCTCCACGCCATGGGCAGCAAGGCCACCGGGCGCGTAGCGTGGTTCCGCTTGGACAAGAGGACGATCAACGACCGCCTCCACAAGCTGGGCACTTGCCCTTCGGTGATGACTGCGGCCCAAAGGCTCTGAAAACCGCTCCACCACGTAGCCGGCAAGCCCAACAGCATGTGGGCCTTCCATCCATCAGCTCCTGGCGACTTGGATCTCATTTTCCCCATCGCGCTCTTGAGCTCTTGAGTCGTAGGAACTAAATCCAGCTCCACCTGGGCATGCGACGGAAGGTTGCGCAGCAGCCGGCGGAAAGCCGGGATGTCAGCCGTCGTGGCAGGAGTTTGCCATCTCCGAAGCCAGAGCTCCCCTTGCTCCTGCAACCGATCGGCTGGGTGTATCGTGCCATTGCTCGCCTCCGCCAAGACAGGAGGCTGCTGCAGTGCCAAGTCCAAGTCGGCACGACGCTTGATCCACTTGATGGCGCGCTCCGGCGCTTCCTGCATCTTCTGCTGCCACTTATCAAGGCAAGACGTCCTATGGGCCACCCGATGCTCTTCAATGATTGCATTCACCTGTGGCAAGGCCTGAGCAGGGTCAGCAGGATCAATGAAAGGGAGGTCCGGAACCTGAGCACGCACATGTCCCAAGGAGCGACACAGCCGCCCATGCAACGCAGAATTCCAAGGCTCCTGCAGGAACTGTTGAAGGCGGCGGGCCAGCTGCCGCAATGCCCTGAGAGGGCGAGGCTCGTGCCCATTGCACGTCGGGGCTCCGCAGGGAAGCTCCTTCGGCTGAGGTTGCCATGGCAGGCTCCATCGGCACTCGGCATCGGAAATCCCGAGGTAGGCTTCCGCCCAATCCGAAAGCAGCGCCCACGCCGAATCCAAGCGGGACGCAGACAGCAGCAAGTCCAACTCAGTGCGCGGGAAACTTGTTGTGGCCTCGGCTTCGGGTCTCAGTCTGGTGGGGTTAGCAAAACGAGGACGTTGCCAGGAAGGTTGGAAGCTTTACGCCGAAATCAACCCGCACAATCCCATGATCCGAAATCTCGGGCTGCCGAAAAGTATGCCCACCGATCGCCACCAAGTCAGGGTGGGTTAAGGCATAATCGATGCGGCGTGTGTTGGCAGGGTTGGTGCACGGCGGCTCCAAGAGGCACGACTCATCAGCCGCCCGGACCGCAAAGGCACTAAGCGTAGCTGCCACGAGACCTTCAGCCTGGGTGCAGTTGTAGTCTCCTAGAATGATGAACGGTCCGCCGAACACGGCGATCGCCTTCATTAAAGCATCGAAGGCCTCGTTGGTGCGACCCAAGTCCCAGGAAAACCCGTAGAAGGAAACAACCAACACAGAGGCACGTCGAGCTCCCAAAGGCATGGAGACAAGGCCGGCGGCAGCACGATCACAATGCACGTCCATGCTCAGATCGACGGGTTGCATCGGGAGGCTGGAGACCAAAGCAACGCGGCGCAGGCCTTTGTGCCCACAGGATCCCAGGGCGGTTTGGAACCCATGTCGACGCCAAGCAGCGGCAAATCCAGGGGCCGTGGCGCGATTGATGTCGGCTTCCTGAAAGGCAGCAACGGCAGCGTCCTGTGCACGCAGCATCGAGGCGACCGCCTCAAGGGAGGTGGCGCCCCGCCTGGCCACATTGCAAGTCAGAAACCTCGATGGTGCGGCGGGCTGTCTGGAAGATCTCTTGCAGCTGGGTTTTTGAGAAACCCGTGTTGTTGGCACCTGCCACCTTGCGCTCCAGCTTCCTGAGAGCCCTCAGCCGGTTCTGGACCACCCCCGGGTTTGTGCGCGGGCACTGCGCACCAGTGTGGTTCTTCAGGGTGGTGGTGGCACGCGCAATCGTGCCACACCGCCTGCACTTCCAACAACTCCGGAACCCGATCTGATCAGCGGCCCGCGGCACTTGGAGATCATCCTGCTTGGTCTTGCGGGGGACCGGCAGCACAAAACTGACGATATGAGCAGGCAACTCCTTCACCTTAATCAAAGAGGTCCTGATGTTGAAGCGAGCCGCTCGGATCTTAGCCTTGCCCACGGAGCCCATGCCCTGGCGGTGCGTGAGGACCTTCCACGCGGCTTCGTTCACCTCAGGGTGTGCCTGGAGCCTATGTGCCGTCTTGGCCCGGCTTATCTTGTTTGGGGGCTGCCCCTCGGCCTCGGCCCGGCGAAGACCTAGCCTGCACAGCGGGCACTTCCAGAGAAAATCCGCCTTCTTGCCCCGGCCCGTAAGCTGGAGCTTCTGGGGTTTTTGCCAGATGCCACGGCCCTCATGGTAGTGGGTGAGATGCCAGTACCTGGTTTTGCCGATCTTGCGCGGGTCCGTGCCCTGCACTCGGAACGGGCAGAACTCACACTGAAACACGCCCTGTCGCGCGATGGCAGCGCCTTGCTCCGTGCGAAAGTAAGCAGGCTTGCAGCGAGCAGGCCGCACCGCATCAGCATCAGGTGTCGGCGGCGCGGGGATGTGGAGCTCGTCCTCACCGGCTCCATCGGCAGCTCCGGAGCTCGGTGGGTAAGAGCAGTCCTGATTTGGCTGTGTGGCCTGGCCTGTGCGGGCAACGAGGTCCCGCTGTCGTGGCTCATGCCCCTGAACCGAATCGACCTTGCGCCTCTTGCTGCTCCGGGCGGACCACACCGTGCCTGTGCGAATCGAGGAGGCCCCGGCGGAGGAGGCAACGACACGAGCACCATTCCCAACCTGAGCAACCTGGCCTGTCGGCTGCACCTTGGCCTGGGAAGTTGACTGCCTCGAGGAGGCCGCGCCCGAAGCTCGCGTCCATTGGCCGCTCGCGCGGGAAGCTTGCGAGGCCCGGCTGCACACGGAAGCGGCGCCATCCTGAGCACGACCGCCGGCACGAAGATCAATGAGTTGGCCCGGGCTCGGATCAAAAAGCTCAGCTGGGTAGCTTGCATCGGAGGCCGTGGGCAAAAGCAAGTCAACATGCTTGGGTGTCAGCCACAAAGCTATGGTCTTTGCTCGCCGGTTTTCCTTAAAAGTAAGGGTTCCAAACCGAGGGTCCCTAGGCACCACGACAACACACACGTTGTATATCCTGGAGAGGGCCTTAATTTCTAAGTTGCTGGCATAAGCACTTTCACCGGCCGCCAACTTGAGGTAAGCCCTGAGTGCAGCCGCGTCGTCGCCAGGATGGGCATCGCGAAGCTTTTCGTGGTTCGGCCCATGGCCGTCAAACTCAGGCAGATATTGCTCAAGGTGTTTTTCGATATGCTGGTTGGCTTTCGCCCTAAGGTCCCGATGGCAATAAGATTTGCCAGTCAGCCAATGCAACCCTTTAGCCATAGAGTGATAAAGGCAACTGCCATCCTTTGGCGCCTCTTCAATCTTAACTCCTGCCGGGAGCTGGCGGTGGCTGACTGCGCGGACCTGGGCCGGCTGCTGTGGCTCGCCATTTGCCGCAACGCTGGATGCCTGTGGTGCCTTAACCTGAGCTGACTTGAGTCCAGGCTCCTTGGGCGCAATCAAGGGGACGGCCTGGTTCCGAAGCCATGTCTGCTTGTTGCTCGGCGTCTTGACTGGGGCAATCGTGGCCCACATGGTCATCTCACTGGCGGTGCCTTCCTCGGAGACCTGGACCTGCAATGGTACAATGTCCCGGTCTCCAAACTTGTGGGTTCCCCTGAAGCGGTAAAGCTGCTCCCGGCCGGTGCGCCGATGATGAATGAGCGTCACCGAATCAAAGGATTGCTCCAAAACCTGCGTGACTTCAGGCGGCCCCCAATCAGGAGGCACGTGCGGCAGGACCCACACCCGGGGAATTGCAGCATTCGGGTCCCTAGTGGATCGGGCGCCCAGACGACCGCCCTGCGAAGCAAGCCCCAGCTGAGCAGACATCCTGAGGCCCCTTTCGAGGTACGCCGTGGCCGGCTCATTGTCCGTGCGGGCTAGCCATTGAACCTGTGCTGGGATGGCATCCCTGATGCAATCTACAAAGATGCCCCCACGCCCGCTCACGCAAAGCAGGCTGGACATCTCTTTCTCGGCCAGGCGGGCTTTGCCGAACAGCTGTTTGCCCTGTTTGGGTGGGGATTCCTCGACCCATCCCCAGGAATCTGCCAGGATGACTCTTTGCTCTGCAGCCCATGCTGCGACGGCTTTCGCGGGGCTATTGCGAATCTCCTTCCAACGCTCGGTGCTGCAATAGGCGGCCGGGATGCGAATGTAAACCGTGGTGGTCTTGGTCGGGGCCACTGAGACCACCGCCGCCTTGGTGCCGGCATAACGAGGGGCAGAGGAGCCCTGCGAGAAGTGCGTGGTAATCTCCGCTTGCTTGAAGCGCAGCTGGTTGCCGGAACGGCCTGGAATGCGTTCCTTGCCGTCCTTCTTGACCTCAACACACATGATGCGGTGCGGCTTGGTGGTGCCCCTAAGGATGGTCCTGACCGTATCAAGCTGGGCTTTGGTGGCCAAAACAACACCCTCCAAGGCCTTGTTCTCCGGGAGCTCGTCGAGTTTGCGCCCGATGGCATCGTGCGGGACGATCGGCACATCCCAGTCCTGGCCGCGGAGCTCAAAGGGCTCAGCATCTTCCTTGCGCCTCTGCACTGTGCGCCACTCGCCTTCGGCTGGTGCCGCCTGTGTCGGAACCCTGGGCTGCAACTGCCCTCCTGCCCCTTTGCCTTTCGCAACCCGACGGCTGGAGCCACTGGCGCTAGCCTCGGCACCTCCTGCTCCATGGTGTCGGGGGCTTTGCGCTTGGGATCGCGGCCGCCGCCCTTGTGACGTTTGCTGCGCGGCTCGCTTGTCTGATCCTCCTGGTCGCCGGCTGGGCTAAGGGCACTAGGGCCGATCGCACTACCCAGCGCTTCAGCAATGGCTTTCTGAATCATCTCGGTGATCAACGGCATAAGTTGAGAGACAATGCCCTCCAACAGCCCTTCAAGACCCGGGCCACCGCCAACTCTGAGCCCGGCTGGGCCAGGCAACCTGCGGGATATGTTGGTCTGCATCTTCGTTGGCAGCACCGGGGCCGGGGAAAGGCCTAAAACCCGACGGGGCCAAGGCACCTGCTCGGCAGCAGGTGGTGCTTTCGCACTCGGGGTGTTACTTGGGTCAGGGCCTAAACCCCAACAAGGCTTGGGAACCTGGTCGGCTCGTGGCTGCCTCCTACCCTGCGGCGTCGGGCCAAGCCTGGGGACCGAGGTCCGAGGCTCAGGTGTGTTTGCGGCATGCACTATGTTGAGGCCACAGCGTCGGTGTTCTCGCCTCTCGTCGGAAGGAACAATACGTCTATGCGGGGGGGACAGGTCTAGACCCCAAGGGGGAAGGGCACCTCCGGTTGCACAGCACGACAAAGTCTTCCGCTCCTGCTCCAAATGAGCTTCTGCAGGCTCACAAGGTGACTTCCAGGAGGGCTCGCACCAGCCATCGTCGCCACCGTCACCAGACATGGTCATGAGCAATTCCCTCTCTGAAATCTCTTCAAGCCGTAGCCTTGTGGCAGGACCTGACCCGCAGTCCTCGCCAACCTGCTCCGGCCTCTTCGCTTCCATCTCAACCCCGCCCTCCTGCCTACCCACAACAGGACAGCGCGCGCAGCTGAGCTCCTCTTCCTCAAGCCCGGCCCGTGGGGCCAGCACCTCGGCCTCCGAAGGAAGCCCGTACTCACACTTGTCTTTCCAAAGCATGCTGCAGCAAGGCCAGGCGCAGTTGGTCGCCGCGCCTTCAGCAATTCGTTTGTGTTTGCATCGAAGAATCTTTTCCACCAGATCTAGGATTTCTGGCCAGCAACTCGGCATCACCCAAAGCCGATCTTGCGTGGCCTGCCGTCCCACACGGCAAAGCTGAGTCTCGATCTTCAAAGCAGAGTGCATCTGCCGCTGCATCCTTTGGTAATGAAGTGTCCAGCCTCCACTAGATGGAGCCATGGCGTGAGGGAGTAATCGGCCTTCCCCCAGGGAAAGGGAAGTTGACAGGCTCAGCTGCGTGGAAGCTTCTCCCCTTGAGCCTGCTAGAGGGTCTCATTGTGCAGGGAGACCCAGGCGAGTGGCGCACATGGCAACAACAATAAAATCAACAAACAACAAACAACAACCAACAACCGGCAACCAACAGCCACCAGCCACCAGCCATCAACCACCAACCACCAACCACCAACCAACAGCCACCAGCCACAAACCACAAACCACCAACCAACAGCCAAGCAACAAGCCACAAGAAACAAGCCACAATCCGCAAGCAACAAGCAACACGCAACAACCGACAACCACAACAACCACAACAACAACGACACCAACAACAACCACCTGGACGACGACAACGTTAACGACAACGCTATGCAGTCGTATGTATATATATATATTTCACAGAAGTGAGA